AAAAAATTGAGGGCAAAATAATCAAAATTGACTTTTTATTAATTTATAGGACTCGAAAAAAAAAAAAAAAGGAAAAAGGGTTCAGGGACTAATAAAAAAATTGAAACGACGAAGGATCATACGTCGTTTTGAGGAATTTGAGGAATCAAATCACTCTTGTTCACAGCACAAAACATGTCGACCCCTCCTCTAACAGAAAAACCAGAAAAATGAAGAAGTAGGTGATATTAGCTTTCTTCCTCACTCTCTCGCTCTTCTCCTTCCCCTCCTTCCAATTCGAATCCGATAAGCTCCTCCTAGACGACGAGGAGTTCAGTCTCGAGGGCGCTCCACCTCGCTTCCTTGAACCCACATCTATCCCTGCGGCTACTAGATCCTCTCGGAAGAGGCATTCGGAGTCGGAATCGAGGTCTGACCCCAGGATCCAGTTCTCTCTGGAGCACGCTTTTGATGACTCCAATTTCGTTCCCGCTGGCACCCTCTCCGCCCGCCTCAAGACTTGGTATCACAGTGGCCCGGTTAGATTTAAAATCCGATGCTAAATTGCTAATCTAGAATTCATTTCTGATTACTAGTTTAGCTTCTTGGTTGTTTCCGCCCTGTTTTACTATTTTGGGGATCTATTTAATTGTTAAAATAAAGTTTAAAAACTGAGGTACAATTTGGGGTTTACTAAAGAGTTTACACTTGTTTCGGCAGCTTCACAATCCAACACTATTGAAGTCCTCAGCTGCTTCTACACCTGAAAATCCCGAGGATGTTTCCTCGGGGAAAACACTCCAACGCTCAAGTCAGCAATACTCAATGTTCTAGAGAGAGATGCTCTCAAGGAGTAATTGCAGAGAGAGAAGCGTAGAGATTAATTACCTTCTTCGGAGGTGGTTGGGGGGTATTTATAGCCCCAAGTGCTGACATGTTTCTGCACATGTAAGCCTCTCATTGGCCCACGTGGTGCTGCCCATGTGAGTATGTCTCCTCCTCTTGGGCCTGTGGGTGTGTAGTTGGGCCTTATCCTAAGAGGGCGTTGGGCCTTATCCCAACATTACTCCCCCCTCGGTGTTCGGTTGACGAACTGGGTTGGGAGACTCGATATGGCGGTGTTTGACCGTGTGGATGAGGAGTGATACTTTGTGTTCCTGACCGGCCTCATGGACGGCCGATCTGGGCCGTGTGAGACCAAAGTGGTTGCTTGCCGACCTCCTGCAGGGCCAGTATGAGTAAGCGGGTGGTTCAGCAAGGCGGGCTCAGTCGATTAGCAGGCTGAGCAGATGCACCTGGACGATCTCGTTTGAACGAGCTAGCGTATAGTGAACGAGCTGAAGCATATGACCCGTGTGGGTTGATATGGGCTGATCTGACGTTTGATGCTTGGCATTAAGGTGAATCTTTGATTTGTTACGATCTGATCTCGACAGAGTTTCGAACTTGAAGTCTCTAATTTTGTTACGATCTGATCTCGACAAAGTTTCGAGGGTGAAGGCTCTAATTTGTTACGACCTGATCACGTTTGAAATCTCTGAGGAAATTTTGTTACGAGCTGGGCGCTTCTGGAGGGATCATGAATCAGTTACGAGCAGATTTCTCGAACTTTTCAAATTTTGTTACGAGCTGGTGGAAATCTCTGGTGAGATCCTGAATTAGTTACGAGCTGGTCGAAATATCTGAAAAGATAACGAATCAGGTACGAGCTGATTTCTTGACCTTCTCAAATTTTGACTTGGGATAGATCTCTGAGGAAATTTTGTTATGAGCTGATCCTTGCCACTTTTTAAATTTCAAACCTGTGAAATCTCTAAAGAGATTTGGTTCAGAGCGGTTAGTATTCTCAATCCTCCCTTAATAAATGCTGGCTCGTCGTTTGAAGAGACGCGACAGCTAAAGCCGGCGGACGTTACACACCCAGCAATAAGTGTTTGCCACGTGTAGCGTTTTGACTTGTTGGCAGAAAGGCGCGTACGATAGTGTCAGGCACGGTCACGTAACCTTTCTATTACCTTTGTTTCCATTTTCCAGTTCCATATTCTCTGTATTCTTCTGCAACAAAGGACCTTCACAGTTTTCAGGCGATCTTCTCAAGGAGTTTCAGTATCAATTTTTCAGGTAATAACGAATGGAATTTGTTAGTGGAGCAGGAGAACTCCGGGGTAACCAGGGCATGGGCGAGGAAGAGAACGTAATAGCCGTAGAACCCATTACCATGATTGTACCACCGGAACTGCAAGACGTGCCGGAAACCCCTACGGCGGAGAGCAGTGCTAGTTCAGGCGCGCATGAGGATTCCGGTGTTAACCCCTCTCCGTCATCTGAAGGGTCGTCATCAGAAAACACTGCTAGTGCAAGCAGCCCCTCGCCGGATAGTATGGAAGTCGCCGTAACTGTACCCCCGGTTGCAGGCTGGGAAAACAAAACCATAGGTGGTAGGTTAAGCAACCTCCGTAAGGCGCCGAATACGTTGACGGCCGGATTCCGGTTTCGGGCGAACCTGCATCATGAGGTAGCAGATTGTTCTACCTCCATTAAAGGGTACAAGAGACTGGAGGAAGTGGTGAGACAATACCACGTTCCTAGGACAGTTTTGTTACGAACAGGGACCAAAAATGAAAGGGCTTGCAGTGTGTCAGCAACAGGGTGGATACCTGTATATGTGGACCATTTCGACGCTGGCCTGAGGTTTCCTTTATCCGGGCTGATTTTTGACATTCTGTTAGAGTACGAGCTGGCGCTCACACAGTTGACTCCCAACAGTATAAAATTCATCGTAGGGTTTATGTTGCTGTGTGCACGACTGGAAATACCTGCGAAAGCTATTGTTTTCAGGTCGCTATTTTTGTGCCGGCTGAGCAGCGCACAGACGAGGTGGTACTACATTTCTTGACGAGAGAAAATGGCCATCTTCAAGAACATAAGGAATAAGGTGTCTCGTTGGAAGAGACAGTTTATCTTTGTCCGGGATGCGCGAGTAGAGAGGGTTAGCACCGATCTGGCAGCTCGTCTATCTGAGTGGCGCCTAGGGCATGCGTACATGAATTACCCCACATTAACCCCGGGCGACCTGGAGCTTAGGGATAGGATCACTAATTATGTGCAGGGATGGGGGTTAGTTGATTTGGAAGCCCTGGTTACCCCTGAGGTGCTCACTTTACGTGGGTTTGTGGATATCCCAAACCTGTTTGGTGAAGGTATATCTCTATTGTCGATTGCTTTTTTCACGAGCTGAGTCTTATTCCACGTGTTTGTGCAGGAGAGATGAGTAGCATGCTTGAGAGACAACGGGAGCGAGCTCAGCGCTCTCGTGGTAGGGGAACTGGGTCTAGCGCGAGGAGGCAAACGCGCTTTGACGAGCTACCGCCTGCGGCACCTCGCAGCTCGGCGCAGAGGGAACAGGGTTCCAGCTCGGTCTCGCGAGCACAGACTTAGCGCAGGGTAGAGCCCACACCCGCTGATGTACGGAGGCGTGCTCGCGACGAGTCCGATGCTAAGGATGACGTACCATTAAGTCGGCGCAGGTTGGATTCCGGGAGACAACCTGGCGTGGTGCGTTCACCTGAGGCGCCCGTGGTCCAGCCACGCAGCGCGGCTGAGGCACTTCCACCACCAGTAGCTAGCGGTGGGCCCAGGATTGCATACCCTGACGGTTTTAGCTACACCAAACCTGACTGTCAGCTCGCTATGGTCCAGGGTATGCAGAATTTCGTCCCGCCTGTGGACCATCACCGTGCTAAAGGCTACATTCAGCAGCACGGGACTCACGCTGCCATGCTGAAAATGATGGATGTGAGTATTGTGCTTGACAAACATTTTTTGCTGTGAGTTAGAGTAAAAACTGATTGTAGACATGTTGCAGGCTCTAAGCTATTCTGTAGCCCTATTCGAGAGTGAGCAGGCAGCTCGAATACAGAATAGGGAGCTGGGTGACACTTGCAAGCGGCTGTCCTCAGACAAGGCGAGCTTGGAGGACGAGGTGAACCATTTGCAAAGCTCAGAGATGGCCAACAGGGCTGCATCAGCAGAGAGCCGGGCTGACGAGCTGGCCAACAAGGTCATCCAGCTGCAGGAGGAGCTGGATAAGGTGAAAGCTGAGAAGGAGAGTGGGATTCAAGCGGCCATGGATGAGGTCGTTCGTGCAGTGGATCTCAGGAAGAAAGTAGAGGTTGAGAGAGATGGCGCGCTGAACGACCTCAACGCCCTAAGAGGGCGGGTTGCTGTGGCCGACCAGGATCTTGCCCGCGCAGAGGAATCCCTGAGGCAGGACAAGGCTCAGCACCAGCGCTGTATTAGCATCGCGCGAGCTCAAGGCGCGGAATGGCTGGTTGGTGCTAACATGTTCCAGGACGCCGTAGCTGTGGCATCCATGAACACCACGACTGAGATTTACAATGACGTTCGTGGTAAGGTGTTGAAGCACCGGCCGGACTTCCCAATCAACGAGCTCGCGTTTTTTGATGGTGAAGAGTTCGATGCGGAAGGGAAGAGCCTTGTTGAACCTTCTGACACGACGGTGAGGCTCCGCTGGGAGCTGAACCAGGAGGGATTGCCAATATGGCCACCATCTGTCCTTGAGGATGGAGAGGAGTATGAGAGTCTGCCGAGGTTCGACACCTGGGTTGGTGATGCTCCTGTGGAAGAAGCTGAACCTTCAAGTACTCCTCCTGCTCTTCAGCCCACCCCTGCTGCCATCTCAATCCCAGCTCGTGCTGACGCGTCCGCTCCCGTAGACTTAACGGACGATTAGACTTAGGCTTTTTCTATTTCTTATACTTGTGTATTTTCAATATTTCTTTGTTGGTAACACATTTTGTAGTTTCATGGACACCTCATGTAATGAATTTGCAAAGAATATAATTGAAATGAATTTTGGAAAACTGTGTGTACTATTTCCAATACTTGCTCATACATTATGCAAATTTTCCACGATAATACAAATCAACTGTAAAATTTTCTAAGGTTCTGAACGTTCCATGTGAACGGTAACTGGCGCCCGTTCATATCTGCTAATACGTAAGAGCCAGGTCGGTTAACCTGAGCAACCATGTATGGACCTTCCCAATTAGGAGCGAGCTTGCCCAAATGGGAGTATGTGTTAGTTAATCCAGCCTTACGTAATACCAGATCGCCAACCTGAAACTGACGAGCTCGGACACTTCTATTGTAGAATCTTGCAACACTGCCTTGGTGTGCCATGTTTCTAATTCGAGCCATTTCTCTGACTTCCTCCACTAGGTCTAGGTTTTCTCTTATGAGTTGCCCATTATTCTGGTCGTCATTATGACATGATCTAGCAGACGGCAGCCCGACCTCGACAGGGACGACGGCCTCAGCTCCATAGGCCAGGCTGAACGGGGTTTCACCCGTAGCCGAGCTGGGCGTTGTGCGACATGACCAAAGAACTTTATTGAGCTCGTCAACCCAGTTAGAACATGCGGATATAACACGTGTCTTGAGACCTCGCAAAACTATCTTATTGGCGGACTCAGCCTGTCCGTTTGACCGCGGGGTGTATACAGACGTCAACGAAAGCTCAATGCCATAGTCGTCACAGAACGACCTCAGTGCTGCTGCTCGGAACTGTGGCCCATTGTCGACAATAATCCTCTTAGGTATGCTGAACCTGCACACAGATGACCGAGCTGAGCAAGGAACTGCGTTTGCATATAATTTACTTACGACTTAAGCAACGGAAGAATACATGCACAATATTGAATTGAAAAAGAATTCTTCTATTTTCCTTTCCGTTATCGTGGACAATGGTTTGGCTTCTATCCATTTAGTGAAGTAATCCACTGCAACGACCAGGAAGGTGCAGCCTCCTTTGCCTTTGATGAAAGGGCCGAGCAGGTCGACACCCCATTGAGCAAAGGGCCAGGGGGATGTAAGAGATGATATCATTTCCCCTGTTTTCACAAAGGTACTTATGCTTAGCATATAATTAGACATGAAGCTTGCATGAACTTTAGGACGAGCTCAGATACCTGGCATGTGAATATCATCAGCATTGAACTGGCAGGTCGGGCATTTTTTTACATAGCTCTGCGCATCTTCAACCATGGTTGGCCAGTAATATCCATGCCTCAGGAGCTTCCGAGCTAGAGTCCTACCGCCTATGTGTGTGCCACATACTCCTTCATGAACTTCTCTGACGGCGTATTCGGCTTCATAAGGAGTAAGGCAGCGTAGCAGGGGCATTGAGGCTGCTCGTTTATAGAGCTGGTTATTTAACAATGTGAAATGTGCCGCCCTGCGCTTAATCAATTTTGCAGCGGCCTGGTCTTCAGGTAGCTCACCATTCTGCAAATAATTTATGAGCGGGGTGGTCCAGCTCGGTGCAGAGGGGTCTGTGCTCAGCAGCTGGCATTCGACTATGGAATCGGCGTAGCTCGGGGTGTCAAGCGTCTCGACAATTGTCGATCTGTGAGGGCTAAGGTCTCGCGAGGAAGCCAGCTTTGACAACTCGTCAGCTCGGTGGTTATCCGCTCTTGATATTTTATCAATTTGGAAAAGAACAAATGTCGATTTCAATCTGTTGACCACGGAGGCATAACGACCGAGCTGGGGATCCCTGATGTCACAACTACCATTTACCTGGCCCACAACGAGCTGAGAGTCGCTGAAAACCTGAATGTTTTGAACCTTCAGCTCGGACGCCAACTTCAGTCCGTAGATGAGGGCTTCATATTCTGCAGCGTTGTTGGTCGTCTGAAATTTAAACCTTAGCGAGTGCTCGGTCTTAAAGCCGTCAGGACCTAATAACACCGCTCCAACACCCGATCCTTCGACATTAGCCGCCCCATCTACATATAAAACCCAAACTGGGTGTTCAGGTGCCTTTTCCTTCACAGCTGCCGGGACACATTCGACCAAGAAGTCTGCTACAGCTTGGCCTTTTATAGTTGTGCGTGGCTGAAATTTCAGGTCGTACTCACTCAGCTCGACACTCCATCCGATGAGCCGACCAGAGAGTTCTGGCTTCTGTAATATTTTTCTTAGCGGGAAATCAATATAGACGACAATCTGATGCGATTGAAAATAAGCCCTCAGCTTACGAGCTGTGCAGACTAAAGCAAAAGCAGCCTTTTCCGTTAGCGGGTAGTTCAGCTCGGCACCTTGTAACACCCTGCTCACATAGCAGATAGGTTTCTGATTCTTGTTCTCTTCCCTCAGTAGCACTGAACTCACTGCTTCTTCGGTGACCCCCAGATAAAGATATAAACACTCCCCATCGACAGGTTTGGACAGCAAAGGGGGGGATGCTAAGTACTGTTTGAGCTCGTCAAACGCCTGTCGACATTCAACAGTCCAGTGGAAGTTCTTAGGCTCCCTCAGAGCTTTGAAGGATGGAAGGCATTTTTCTGCCAATCTGGCTATAAACCTGTGCAACGCAGCTACCCGACCTGTCAGACGCTGTACGTCTTTCACGGTCTTGGGTGGCTCCATCTGCTGAACGGCCTGGACCTTCTCTGGGTTTACTTCAATCCCTTTCTTGGATACCACGTATCCTAGGAATTTCCCTGATTCCACAGCAAACGTGCATTTCAAAGGGTTCAACTTCATTTGGGCTCGGCGCAGGTTTTGAAAAGTTTCATCCAGGTCGCCTATGTGATCCTCAGCTCGTATACTGGTGACTATCATGTCATCCACATATACCTCTATGTTTTTGCCGATCTGGAGCTTAAAGATGATTTGCACCAGCTTCTGGTATGTTGCTCCAGCATTTTTGAGGCCGAATGGCATCATGACATAACAGTAGATTGCATCCCCAGCGTAAAAAGCTGTCTTCTCCTGGTCGTTCAATAGCAATTGAACCTGGTGATAGCCCGAGCTGGCGTCAAGAAAACTCATCCGTTCATGCCCAGCTGCCCGCTCCACTAATTTCTCCACATTTGGCAAAGGATGAGGGTCTTTTGGACATGCGTCATTGAGGTTAGTGAAGTCAATACACATCCTCCACTTGCCATTTGGCTTTTTGACGAGCACGGGGTTGGATACCCACTCGGAGTACTCCACTCTCCTGATGAAACCCGCTTGTAGCAACTTCCGTATCTCTTCGTCTATGGCAGCCTGCTTCTCCGGGCCCAAAAGGCGACGTTTCTGCACCACTGGCCTTCTGGTGGGGTCCGTGCTGAGTTTGTGGACTGTCAGCTCCGCTGGGATGCCAGGCATTTCGTCAGTAGTCCATGCGAACACATCTTGATTGATCCTCAAAAACTCCAGGAGCTCTGCTCGTTCTTCTTTTGTGAGCTTGGTGCCGATCTTGACTGCTCTTTCCGGCACATCAGGGTTTAAAGGAACGGTTTCGACTGGCTCTACCGGCTCTGCTTTCTGCTCGACTCCCTCGGGTCTATGCTCAATGTCCGATATGCTCATTGTCTGCTGACCGGGCTGAGTCGGTTGACTATTTTCTGCGCCTCTCAGGGCTACGGCGAGCTCCACTTTCTTAAATGTGTCTTGATAACACGCTCTGGCCATCTTTTGATTTCCTTTGAGTACTCCTACCCCCTGAGGGGTTGGGAATTTCATACAAAGATGGGGTTGTGATATGACAGCCTTCAGCTCGCAGAGAGTGGCTCTTCCTAATATAGCGTTGAAAGTTGACTCCATCTTGACGACCAGGAAGGTGACAGAAGCCATTCTGAATCTTGGTTCCGAGCCCACATAGATGGGAAGGGTAATTACTCCTTCAACCGGCACGGGCTGATTGTCAAACCCATATATAGGCCCTTCGTGCTTTTGCAGCGAGCTGGGATTTAGCTGCATTTTCTGGAAGCAACTCCAGTACAGGATATCTGGTGAGCTACCCGTATCGACGAAGACCTTATTGACATTATGGTTGCCTATATGAACCGTTGCCACAAAAGGATCCGCATGTGGCATCATGACGTCGGGCTCTCCATCTGGTCGCTTGTAATCTGCCGGGCTGAATGTAATGGGTGCGCTCTCCCACTCCGCCTCCTCGAATGGTCGCTTCAGAGGCCTGTTTTTGTTAACCGTCATCACCTGTCGGGCGTATGCCTTGCGTGCCCGGGCACTTTGGCCCCCTGAGTGCATACCACCAGAGATCATGTTGATCGTGCCAGACGGCGGGGGTATCGCACTGCACCCGACTCCTCTCCTATCTTTCTGGTTTTGAGTGACAGGTCCCTGACCTTGGCCTCGCCTATTGAATTGGCGGCCCCTGTACGTTCTACCTTGCTCAGAAGGATATTGGTTGTCTGGATACACGCCCTGTGTGTTACCGAGCTGGTACCTCTGCCCCTGAGGGCGGACATACCCCTGCACGAAGTGAGTTTGAGTCGGTTGCTGGGTATGAGGCTTCTACACATATCCCTCTAATTTCCCAGTGCGAGCCAAGAACTCCATCTCGTCCTTTAAGTGTTGGCAGTCTTCGGTGTTGTGACCGTATACACGATGATAGTCACAATGCTTGCTCTTGTCTGCTCTCGGGGAATCGTGCAACGGGGGTGGGGGCCTTCTAATCCAGTGTTGGATTTGTGCCAGGATTTGAGATCTTGGCAAGGTCAGAGGGACGTAGTTAGCATATTTTGGGAATTCAGCTGGCTTCCCCCACGGCTCATTGACTTTTTGTTTTTTCCTATCCTCTCTTCTTGGTATCTGTTCCTGGCCTTTGCTTTGTTTGTCATCAGCTCGTCGCTTCGACGACTGAAAGTCCTCCGACAGTATAAAGCTAGCTGACCTGTCATTGACTTCATTCCACGTCTTTGGTGGATTTTCCAGTAGGTCATCTAAGAACCTGCCACGTTTCAGACCGTGCAGCAGGGCAGACAAGCAGATGGTATCAGGGACGTTATCGATATCTAAAGTAGCTTTGTTAAATCGCTGCATGTAGTCCCTCAAAGATTCCCCCTCTTTCTGGTGAACTTGCATTAGCTCGGTAGCTGTGCGTTTAATCTCCCTTTGGCTTGCGAATTTGTTGGAGAACAGCTTGGCGAGCTGGGAGTAGGAATCTATAGAATGTCTGGGGAGTTTATGGTACCATCTTCTGGCTGTTGACTTCAGGGTTGCCGGGAATACCTTGCACATCATGGCATCGTTAGCATTTTGGATTCTCATGATGGCCTGGTAGGTGTGCAAATGTTCATCCGGGTCACCCGAGCCGTCGTACGTCTCTAAGTGGGGGATTTTGAATCCCTCTTGGTACGGCTCTGCTGTGACGGATAAGTTTAGCGGGGCGCTATCTAAATCCAGAGTCTGTTGATGCGACCTGGGACTTTTCAGCTCGTCAATAGACTTTTGTACGTCTTGTAACTGCCTCTCCAGGTCTGCGTTTTTTCGCATCAGTTCTTCACTATGTTTAGACGAGCTGGGCTCGATATTCAGCTTCCCCCTTCCCCTCGGCCTGGTCGGTACTATTATGTTGCTTAGAGCGGGGGAATTTCTCGTTGCAACAACCGCAGCTGGTTGTGTATCCCTGTTCAACAAAGGAATCAGGGGGTCATCAGGAATCAGACGGGCTAGGATTTTACCCATTGCCATTTCGAGAACTCGGGTTCTCTCTTCGAGCTCGGCTGTCCGAGCAGGTTCTGCTGACCTTTCAGGTCGTTCATGCTGTAAGTTGCGCGGTCTAGAAGGTCTTTGTCTTGCTCCCGCTGGAACTTGGAACTGTTCAGGCTGGGTTGCATACCCCGTTGGTGTTCTTTCGTCATCTGTTTCACTGAGGTGATCCTGTTCAGCTCCCCCAACGAAAAGGTTTCTCGGCATTGGCCTAAAGTCATTCAAACCGGGCTCAGATAACTGAGTGTCCTCCTGTTCGTCCACCCCAGTTCTTGGGGGGCGATCTCCTGTAAAAGTCCGAACCATTTTGTCTTTCGGAAGGTTAAGCTACGCAACTTTTTGTTCAGGTTTCCCACAGACGGCGCCAATGTTTCGGCAGCTTCACAATCCAACACTGTTGAAGTCCTCAGCTGCTTCTACACCTGAAAATCCCGAGGATGTTTCCTCGGGGAAAACACTCCAACGCTCAAGTCAGCAATACTCAATGTTCTAGAGAGAGATGCTCTCAAGGAGTAATTGCAGAGAGAGAAGCGTAGAGATTAATTACCTTCTTCGGAGGTGGTTGGGGGGTATTTATAGCCCCAAGTGCTGACATGTTTCTGCACATGTAAGCCTCTCATTGGCCCACGTGGTGCTGCCCATGTGAGTATGTCTCCTCCTATTGGGCCTGTGGGTGTGTAGTTGGGCCTTATCCTAAGAGGGCGTTGGGCCTTATCCCAACAACACTTCCTCTTGCCCTTCCCTTTTTTTCCCTTTTATCTCAAAAACTCAACGGAGTTTTTGAATTCTTTTGTTGAGATTTGAAGATTGATTCTGACTACTTTGTCAATTACAGTTGGCTTGCTGTTATTTTTAGAAAAGCCCAACTATGATAATGGATTTCACATGCGATTTTTCTTTTTGACACACTAACAAAGCTCGGTTTTCAAGAAATGGTTTCACCAATGAGGAGAAGGAGAAGTTCAAAGTAATTGCATGTTGTTTGGAATCAATTCATGTGTATCATAAATCATTGTACATTGCTTTGATTTGTATGGTTCTCTGTCCTACAGAACTTGCTTCAAGGTGATGACTTTTACAAGATAAGGCTCCCATCCAATGTTTTAAGTCCCTCTGGGAAGGATTATATTATCTCATCAGTGTAAGCAGTAAGTTAACCTCTTATAGGTTTTTTATGAATTCAAAATGTTTTTATCTTTCTGGTCAATTATTTTCCTCTTATAGGTTAAGTTATTAAGCTTGTTCGTCAAATGGACATGTACTTTTCTGCTTTTGGATTGAAACTTCTATACAGTGTAGTTATCTGTCAGATTTAAGGTCTCTAACCGAGCTCATCATGAGGATCTCTGCAATCTGCCTTAAATCTATTGACTACACAGCATGCCTCAAATCTGAATGTGTATTTCGTCTCACTGTTTGTTCATAGTTGCTTTTATTATGAACTCGTACTCTTAGCATTTGTCTAAAAGTTCTATAATTTTCCCATAAATTTTGATGCTATAAAAATTTGATAGCGGAAGTCAGAGCTTTTTGGTTTGAATATGAAATTTTAGTTTTCAAATATTAATTAAAAAAATGTAATGCCATAATGCTCTTCCCTCAATTACAAAATTATTCAAAAAATTTTATTATGCTGTCTCTTTTTGAATTTGTATGGTTCATCACCATCTTTTGTTTAATTGCAGAGATGTCTTCCACAGGAGGGTATGGACAAGCATTTTGTCATACACATGGTAATTTAGAGTTAACTTTACATGTTGGTGCTGCATCATCCCCTCCCCCTCCTGGGTGTGTTAATAGGACTGGGTTTTAATTAGTCAAAACTGTTATGCAGAAATTTGTTTTTACAACTTTGGTATGTAATGTAATGTGTAAAGCTTTTTAACACTTCTTTGAAATGGGATTAATTATCATATTTTAAAATGAAAAGCTTTATTGTTCCACTTTTAAGAAGACTTGTTATGATTTCATTTTGTAAGTGGTAATGAGTTCCCCTTTTTTGGTGCTAACTTACCTAACTTTATAGTTAATTTTCACTGCTTTGACATGCATCTAGTGTTTATTTGCTCATTTCTTTTTTAGATTATCATATGGTCAATTTTTATATAAAATTGGAAAATGTTTTCTAAGGAAGTATATAGGATGGTTGTCAAGATGAAACTTCCTTTTGTAGATCTTGCTATAGTTTGCCTGATTGTTGTTGCCCTTCTATCCCTGCTGTTGCAGGAAGGTGTAAATATCTTGGCAGTCAATTATGGTTCTCCAGGGGCATGTCCATATCCTCGGTAGTTGAAACTTGTGAGTTACTATTTATCTCTTACTTTTTTCTTGTTTCTCAGTTAGTTGAGCAAACTATGGAGATTATAGCCTCTTCCTCAAATTTATTGTTGTCATTCTTGCCATTTGTCCTATTCTACAGTTAATTTAAGCATATATCTTAAAAATGAACTTCTAAGTTTTGAGAGAGGCCATCATTTTATGACAAAAATTAGGGACAATAATCTGGGACAATAATCTCAACTTATTTGAAATTCGTAAGTTGTTGTCTTCACCTGAAGATGGCAATATGTTGGATTTTCACTGGAGCACTTAAAAGTCCTTTCACTTGCAGCTTTGAATGAACCAAAGCATGAACTTCCTAGCCATGGTTGTTTTCCTTTATTACACTGCCATTATTAATGTTTTGTCTACTTCTTCACTTCCATGTGTGCTTCCCTTTGTGTTACTACAATATCTTTTCTTAAATTTAAGTCGTCATTTTAATATGTAATGTGTAGAATCACAGCTTTGCAGCTCATAGATTTAATGATAACTTTAAATTTCATGGCCCATGGGTTATGTGGGATATAAATTTATTCTCTGACACTTGTCCTGGATACTGGATCTAGAATAAGTTTAGGTCACTTTGAAGTTGTAGTTTCAAATGTCATTTCTTGCACTGTGGTATGTTCAATTAGGGTTCATATGATTCAACAACTATAACCTCATCAACTGTACTTCCTTAAGCATGTCATGGCATTCAGATGCTTCTGTTGTCTTCTGGACTTCCAGAATATTTTGTTTCTCATATTTTATACTTGCCTTGTAAAACAGAAGATTGATTTTGATGTACTGATTTTGCAATATTAACTGAACTTTCATGAAGATGGAAGGTGATTTCTAGCAGTCTTAAAACCATTTCTCTAGTTGTATTGTAATCTATGTTCACTTTACCTAACAGCCTTTTAAATGGGCCTCCAACTCTCACACAGTTTTAAAGAACACTAAGCAGGCACCAAAGTATTCTCTTAGCTATGTTATTCGCTTGTTTTCATATCCAGTATTATAGCTCTTACTTTTTCTTTTTCTGATTTTTAATGTTCTCAACATTATTGACTCCTTCTTGATCTTCAGTTTTATTGATTAACATCTAATTGGAAGCCATTTCATGGCTTAAAGGATAAGTTATAGATTGTAAATTGCAATCTCTTCCTGTTTCTTTTATTGTTTCAAGAGCATCAGATACATGCCTTCCTCAATGGACAACTTTGTTTTAGTAAATAACTCAAATGCATCTACATTTTGTCCAAGTTGATCATCATTGTATACATCATATTTGCAAATTATCTATTGCAGTTTTGTTTTCATTTTAAGTTGCTTTATTTAACCTAAAAAACAAGGATTGCTTTTGGCATTGCCTTTTTTGTTTTATAGGGCTCCAATCTTTACTGAAGAAGTTTTGGGTGGTGCGAATGGGAAGGGTGAAGTTGTGCAGCCGCCAGAAAGATCTTTCTGGGCCAAATATGTAAGTTGGGATGGAGTTGTAATATCCTTTACTGTATTCTGTTTAAGCCATGTTGAGTGAGACTGACTGAATGTTTTGTTTGTAGTGGATGTATTTGATCCCTCTTGGACTCATAGTCATGAATGCCATAACCCAAGCAATGAATATGCCCGAGGAACAGGCTACTAGTCAATTAGCATCACAAGCACAGCCAGCTGCAGCAATGCAGCGTGTATCGAATGCTGTAGTGTGCAAAAGATGACATTTAACTATTTTGGGGACAAATACTGGCTAAAATTTATAGTTAGATTGGGGCTCGGATTGATCTTCATAGGTTCCCAATTGCATGAAAATGTTTAATTTATACTAGTGAATCAAGTTCTTTTTCTTTTTTTTTTTTTAAGTTAAGAATCGAGTTCATTTGACTCCATTTTAACTTGAAAGTTGAGCTTGACTTCCAATTTGAAGATTTTCGTATCTCTGCTACTATTTTTAATTTTTTAGTAACATTATCAGGGAGCTGACTTTTCATCTAACAGTTTTTGACTGCACAACTCTCCTTAAAAAAAAACATACAAGTAAAATTATATATGTTGTTAGAGAAGATAAAGTGATGTTGGACTATAAAATACTACATATAATACGATTAATGTAGACGGTTCCTCAAATCCCAAAGCCTCTCAGTGGCAAAGGGTATTCATAAAGGGTCGGGAGCAAAACATGGTAGTTTGATTTCAACATGTAATTGGGTGCAGGTCATGCAATGCCTACGGAAATCTACAAAATCCTCAAAGCTATGGAACTTACTGTCATAACTCAAATTTTTAATAGAATTTTAATTTTATTGTTATTTTCAATATTATTTTTATTTTAACTAATATGTTTTGTCTTTATTTTCCTTGTTAGGCTTACGAACAAAAGAGGATTGGAAAAGGGAGATGGAAGAGTTTAAAATGAAGGACTTAATTGAAGAAATGGAAAGTTGGAGGGGTGAAATGCAAAGTTAAAAACCGAAACCCAAAGCCCACCAAATTTCTCAAAAACCAAAATCCAAAAATCCACAATTATCCAAACCCAAAAGCCCAAACCAAAAAAAAAAAAAGAGAATTAAAATTCTTTCTCTCCCGAAGCTTCCCTCATTTCGGTCAAACCTTCAATTCCCTTCTCTCTCTTTCTCGAATCCCCATCCTTCTGCTAGCAGCCAGCAGCCATCTTCATCCTCTTTCTCCGATCACCATCACCACCATCATCTTACCGATTTCATCATCACCACAGCCGGCAACCACCTCCTCCTTCTACCGTCTCCCTTCTCCTTCTCCTTCTCCAACCGAGCTTTCCCTCCATACCCAAGATTCCTCCCCTCCCATGAAACCCTCGGATTCTTCCTTCCTTCGGTTTCCCCTTTCTTCCTTGCACAGATCCCGGCCATCCCTTTCCCGCTATCTGGAAGCTTGGGTTGCCGACAGCCGTGCAAAAGACCATCCCCACGAGCCACCATGACCCACGCTGGCGAGTGAGCGTCGGAACCAGAGAGAGGAAAGCCAGATCTACCAACCAGCGATGGCGGTGGTGTGCACGCGGAGCTTCGACGAGTTGGCAAAATCCCGATCTCCCTGCAACTGGAATAGATTTGCAGAGGAAATCTATGCACGAGTGGGTGACGACCGCATGAATTGGGCGTGGATTTAAGGCCCAAATGCATTTCGCAGAGTTTGTAAAAAAGGTAAAGACCAGGTAAAAAAGGTAAAGACCAGAGAGGCCCAAATGCATTGCAAAATTCTGGTGATTGGAGGAGCCCAAAACCGTGGACACAGAAAAGCCCGGAGAGTGATTTCTGGAAGGTTCCTAGTTGGGATTTTTAGGGTTTTTAGGGTTGGTTTTGGTTTGAGTATAAATAGAGGACTTTAGGTTAGAAAAGGGGGGGTTCTTCTGTTCTTGGAGTCTGGGTGTTGAGAACGGCGGCAGAAAAGGAGAGGAATTTTGCGGAGCCGGTGATTTGGGTGAAGATTTAGGGTCTGCTTTTGTAGGTAATTTCTTTGAACAGAGGAGTTTTCTGGGAACGGTGGTGAAGGGGACGATGGGAGCCTGGTCTCGTGGGTGGGATCCCTCCCATCAGATCTGGATCCATTTTTCCCAGAAAATTCCGCCGTGAATTTGTTGCCTTTTGGTTGATTTCTCTATTTTTTTTTATGTTTAAGGTTATATGTATTCCTGGAGAAATGAATGAAAAATCATATCTTTGCCTGTTTATTTGCCCGATAAGTTTGTTCATGATGAACCCTAATTTTGCTAAGTTGTTTGCATGTTTGATTTTCTTTTTT